AATATATATATATATATATATATATATATATTTATCGTTGTAACTCTGTCGTGCTTTGCTTCGATATGTTCTTTCTCTCACATTCGCATTCTTCAGAGTTATTATTCTGTATTTTGTTATTCGTCCCTTTCGACATCGCATCGTATTTTTAATATATTATTATTATTATATTATATATCGATTATTAAAAACAATTTATTAATAAGATATCAAACCAAAAAATATATGAATATACTTTATATTTTGTATAATATATTTCGTTCGAAGAATAGTTATTTTTGTTTCAAAAATAGAAAAAATAAAATAACAATACATATACGTAGATATATATTAAGATATATATATGAAGTAATATTGATTTAATCTTTAAACTTTTTATACAATATTTATATTAATTAAATAATTCGGAATGATTAAAATTTTAAATATTAGTTTTGAGAATATTAATAATATATAATAATTGAAAATGTCAAAGTTATTATAATTAAATTATAAGAAAATATATTCTATTATATGCTAGAACGAAATATAATAGAAATGAAAATGTAAGTGAACGGATTTAAAATGTAAGTGAAAAATTTTGCAATTTGAATTGAAAGAACGAAGAAGCTGGCAATGTGCGCACCGGCTTCGAGAAAGTTCTTCCGTCAACCGACTCCGATTGTCACGTACCGTGTGCTCTTCAACAATTAATCTTGAAAATTTTAATCCATTATCTCAATTATTTTATATCCTTTTTTTATTTCTATATAAATTGAACTCGAATTTTCAATCGAAACGATATTTCTCTTTTTTTCGATTAATGACGAAATTCATATGAAAGAATAACATAATAAATTATACATGACAATCATTTATTTAAAATAAAATATAATATTGAAATACATCTATTAAAAAGTTATGTTAAATGAATAAATATTAATATTATTTTGAATTTTTACTAGTGAAAGATTAAAATTATATCAAATTTCATCATGATCATGTTTAATTTGAAGTGAATTGAATTAACATTTATTATAAAAAAAGTTCATACCTCTTGCAACCTCTTGACAACCGTCTTCTCGTTCTTCCAAGATTTTCTCCACCATTTTCGCACAGTTACCACAAGCTTCGGTTTAATATCCAGAAAAGAGTCAAAAAAGGAAAGTGAAGTTCTTATTCAAAACAAAACTTTCTTTTAATTTTTTTCTTCTTTGAATCTCCCTTCTTTTTCAATTAACAAACAACAATGAAACTTCCTCTCTTTTTCGCTCTTAACCCGATATCAATAATTATAAAAAAGAGTCAGTCGTATATACAAAAACATCTATATCCACTAAGTTACTGATATAATCTCCTTTCCCACTATCTTAACTTTTTAAACCACTATGCTTCTCTCAATTCTTTCTCTCTTTACCGACGTATACTTCTTTTCTTTTTCTCTTTCTTCTTCGGGATAATTCGATGTATATCAGCGTCGGTATCACAGATATAAATAAATATATAAAGATTATCTATTCCTCTGTTTCTCTAACTCTTGCGATTTATAGGAGCGACAAACGATGCTACTGTGGTAGACAATACCCGGTATAGCTGAATCGTTTGAATAAATACTATCACAGACTTTGACACTGCGCTTTTTCTTTTCTTTTCTTCTCAATTATCTCTCACTTATTCTTCTTTCACTTTTTTATTATTTTTTTCTCTTTACTCTTTCTCTTCACTGTCTCCAATGATATGAACAAAGTTCTTTCTGTCTTCTCCACTGCCTTTAATCTGATGAGATATTAAATATCGCGGATAAATCTGTTCCGCGAGAAATGAAATTGTTATACAACTTCTCGATGCCTTCTCGACTTCTCTTCTCCAGCGTCAAAACTTCTGCTCCCTCGATTCCTTCTTCTCTGCTCCTACCCTGAGACTTTTCGCCGGATAAAACAAAGTTTTTCCGTATGCGAAAATCTCTGGATGGTCGCTGCTCCGTTGTCGGTATCGCACAGCCTTTCGCACGTAGCGGTAACCCGGCTCGGAAGCGCATTAAAAAAATCCTTCAGCTAACACATCGAGTCTTTTCTTTTACCTTCCCTCACTGCACGGCAGTTGGTTTCCGACTGAACCTCGCAAGATGGCCGCTTCGCTTACTAACAACCCCTCCACTCTCTTTCGTCGCTGTTCTCGTCCCGGCATCGACGAGTCCTCGATCCCCACCACGCTGTCATTACTGCCGCTACCCTCCTCCCTTTCCGTTGCTTCTACGTAGCATCGAGCAACTTCGTCGACGCCCTCTGAAACGGCGCCGCGTCACGTAGCTTCTAGGCAGGGGCTCTCGTTTTTCGAAGAGACAAAACTACTACACTAAAGCCACGTAGTTACCGAATTGAATGATGCAATTTTTATCTAGCTTACAATTCTATTTTTAGAGAATTCGTCATCGATATTATTTAAGTAAACACGATCTTGACATTCACGTTAACAAATAAAACTCATATTTATCATATATGAATCATCAATATGAATGATTGAAATGCAATATTGAAACTAACAATTAAAGAATTATTACAATTAAAGAAAATTAAATATTAAAACTACCTTTCTTCTTCTCTTCCATCCTTAGTTCTTTCTTTTCTCTCTTTCTCTGTGTAACACTTTTTTCGTCTAATTTTTACAATTTGTTCAAGAGCGTATGAGAATCACTGATTGCTCTCGTATGTTTGGAATCGACTTGCCGGTAATAACGCCATTCTGTACGTAAGATTTCATCATGAATGTTTTTTCGAAAAGCTTGAGTAAAACGTGTTTATCGACTCAATGGTTAGATTATATGTGCAAGATCTTTACAATTTAGCATCATTTATACCCGCATTATAAGGGATCTGAGCCAGATAAACATAGAGGAACGGGAAATATCGCCGAAGCGGTCGCGGCGTGCGTTGTTTTAGGAAGGGATGCGCGCGCACAATGGCCACGTATAACATCACGCGACATAGAAAAAGAATCGAGAGAGACAACCAAGACGAAGTACGAAAGCATTGCTGTTTAAATTTATGTGAAGATGTGCACGGTGAAATGAAATACGAAAGAAGAAGATAAAGAATACGGGAAAGAAAAACGACAACATTTCTCGTATTCTATAGTAGTTCAAATGTAGACATATACACATACAAATGCATTTATATACGAGTTTTTATGCTACGCGCAGACTCGTGTCGGCCATCGAAGTTTGTTTTCAATCGGCCGACATCGCGTGAACTTGTTGCCCGTATAATCTGTATGGTATTGCGTCGTAAGTTTATTAGCCGTATTATTATTACGTAACATTATACGGTCATTTATTTACCTGGCCATGCGATCTACAGTTTTATATATTTGATTTTAAATTTAAAATTAAATTGGAACCGTTTGCCCAATTAGAAATTTTATTATATATTCTAATCTTTTTATATTATTATGATTCATATTTCGAGAATCGATCTATTTATTAGCTTCCTCTTCACCGATTATTATAACAACATCCATTACAATTTTGATCATTGTTTTATATTTTATTTTTGCATTCCGCAAATTCGAAGGATAGATATTAACTAATGATATTAATTCATGCATTATAAGTATATTTACCGGTCGCCTTGATGTGTTTATATAAACAGTTGATAAGTGCTGATCACATACTGTCATATATGTATCATGAATGTACATAGGCAGAATTAATAATATCAAATATTTTTATGAATATCTTGAAAATCATCAGTTATGCGTAAAAGAAAAAATAATGATTTTTATAATATATTTCAAAGTTTTAAAATCGGTGAAGATGGAATTAATCAATAAATCATCGATTTCGAATATATTATAGAATATGTATATTGTAAAAATTATAACTTTCTCATCCATGAAATAGCATATATTATGATAATAATTGCATTATCCATATCATGGATGTAATAATCGTATATCCGCATGTCGATCATATCGAATTAATAATATGGGAGCAATGTTCGATCAGCAATGCGAAAGAAAAATGTTTTTCACTATCACGTGATGTATACGATATGCTTCATCGATGAATAAGAAATTGTGATTTTCTGTTCAATTTTGTAAAATAATGCTCTCGTAAAAATAATGTTCAATTTGAAAAATAAAAAGTTGAAAGGGACTTCTATTACGTAGAAATTGAAGAATTCAATCAGATTGAAAGGACATTCTTACCGTGAGAATTCAACAGATTTCGTCTAAACAGAAAATTTAAAGGACAGTGTTCGGTCGCACAAAATAACAGCACAAACCGGTTTTTGCACGTGGCAAGAGTGACTTTGCTGTGTTTGCTATATCAGCAGCACTCAATACAATACTTATTATCATGCTATCGATTTACTTTCAATGTGCTTTCTTCCATTTTTACACATGTATTTTTTCCTCAGTTACTAATATTTCGCAAAATGTTGAAAATAAATATCTTATTCAAAAGTAAAAAAAAGTTTGAAGATTGCAGAATAAATTACTAAACAATATCAGAATAAGATAAAAAAATAATGATTAATACATGAACACAATCAATTGGATCAGTTTTGTAGATATGAATATATAATAAACTGAAAATAACGACACAAGTAGATGAAAAAAAAAAAGAGTGCATGATGATTTGATTAGGAACGAAAAAAGAGTAAATTAAAAAATAAATTCGCAAAATAGTTTAATTGATTTTTTTATAGTTGTTTTTCAAATTTTTCTATTAGCAATCAATTCTTTTTTTCATATCCATATTTGTGGTTTTTTTCATTGTCTTTATGTCGTGTTATGTGATGTCTATATCAGGTAAAATCAATTATCTAAATTAATTCCGAATAGATTTGCATTGGGACAGTAAAAAATTAAATTATGAAAAATTATCGCTTCAAACATAATATTTGTAAACCGAAGATAGTATGTGACTCGTAAAAATTTATCTAGTTAATTACATCATTTTGTATGTATACGTGAGGTGACAAAAGTACGTGGAATTTATTCATTTTATCTACTTAACGTTTTTTTTTCAATCATTGGTGACTCATCCAAATGCGATTATCACTTTACTGGATCTCTTGTTTCGCGAAGTGTGAAGAATGTCCACAAATTTATTCCGCGTGTTAACATTAGTCCAGTTTTCAAAAATGAAAACAATTTCATATAGTAAGTTTTGATATTATTTGATTCCTAAAAGTTAAATCGAATTATTATGTTATTATTGATAGGATACAATTTCTAACTATTGAACTATTGAAATTTTGATTTATTTAGTGATAAAAAGATGAAAAATAAACGATAAAGATCAAACGAGACAAGAAGTGAAAACGTATTTGCCATAGCGAGACAACAACTGCGTATCTTGTGCTGCGTGATGAAGTTAAAGTAGAACCATCATGATATAGTACGAACGCGCGTAGTACGTTACGTAATTCACCGGCTGCTTTAAACGAGATTCGTTCGTCTCTTTTCTCTTATAATTCTCATTTGTAAATTTATATTTTTATGAAAATAATATATATATACATACATAAGCTATTATTATATATATATATAAAGGATAAATTAATAAGTTTAGCAATGAATGATTCGAATTAATTTAAAATAATAGATTATTAAAAATATTAATGATAAAATATTTTAAACGAGCTGTGAATTTGGAAGATAATTTTTAATATACCAATATGTATATGTTTATATCAATAGGATGATTTATGCGATACGAATAGACATGTGATAAAGGATATTAACATATAAAAGAAGATTGTAAATAATATATTGAAGAATATCATAATGGAGAAGAAATATGATTTTAAAATAAATAAATATGATTTTTTTTATTTTTGTTATTCATTCGTGGTTATGTAAATTTGTTATTTAAAAAACGATGTTTTGAGAAAGAAATTACCGGCAGATAAATTTTTTGACAAACTGGTCGATTCATAAGCAGCTGAGGTGAAAGGAGCAAGAACGATCTTCGAACGATTCTTCATGTAGCACGTGTATCCATAATTCAAGGTTAAATAATGGGACGCACAAAAGGTTCTCCTTGTTTAAGGTTTTCGGTGTGACAATTAATTTTAAATAATTGTTTTATCACGCATACATTTCGTGTGAGGCATCGAACGTTCCACATATTTTTACTTGAATGGAAAATTTATTTGAATCTTGAAAAATGACAGAAATCGTTCAATTTCGAGATCACGTACCATGTGAAATTGAATCATGTGCACTGGTGAGATGGAACACGATTGGATATTACCGACAAAGAATCATGAACATCGTAAACAACGGAACATGTTAATACGCATGCGTGTACGTAATGTTTACGCTTTATAACAAGTAGTTACGTATATTAAATTGTGATAATAATCACGTGTATAATAATGAAATTTATCAAAAACGAGAACAACAGAAAGAATGAACAACTAGCCGATGTATTAAAAAAAGAAAATATAAATAAGAAAGAGAATAAGATAATACATAGAAAGAATATTATTTTATTGAATTATGTATCAATAAATATATATATAATTTGATAGATTTTTATAATACAATGAAATGCGGATATAAGCTGATTCATTTATTATTATTTCACTTACTGCAAAAAAAGTATTATCAATAGCGAACGATATCGATAAACTGTATCTGTTAGATTTTTCTGATGCAATGATATGTGGAAATAAGCTGATTCATTTATTACTATTTCATGTCAATGAATCGCAACGGAAATTAGTTGCAAATCCATGGTGTCGAGCGAATTGGTAAAGGTCATTGACCATTATATATCGTACTCTTTCCAGTATTTGTCCGCTATGCTTATTTCTGGATATCACCCGGATCATCTACCGTATGGCCTCGTGGGTCATATGCGCAGTTCAATGTTGCTTTAGTTAAATGCTTCAAGGTAAATTGAACACCTTCGCAAATTTATTCTAAGATTGAACAATCAAAATAAACGTAACAAATAATCTAGTAAGTGAAAATTATGAAACAGAATTCGATCATTTTATGAATGAGGAGAAAGATTTGAGAAAAATTGGCGGAATTATGTTATTCGGGAAAAAGGCAACGAACTTAGTTGACCCAAGAAAAAGATTGGTGTTACATAGTGCCATTTCATGCCAAATTTCTTACGATACTGTTTTCATCATTTCCACATTCCTCCGTGAAGATAGATCAAAAGTTCGAATCAGTGAAACATTGAATCTTTGTCAACCGACAATTGTTATACTGATCTACGATATACATATAATCTTAATTTTATTAAAAACCAATAAATTCGAATATTTCTATATATTTATTCATTATTAGGAATTATATGACCATTATATTATATATATATATATATATAATCTATCTATCTTGTTTTCATTTTATGACAAAGAAACAAAATTTTTTGTTTGAAATAAAAATGACAAATAAAAGAAACAGATAATTATTTCTAATAAAATAAATAATAATATAATAATGTAAAGTAAAAAAATAAAATATTTATTTCAAATAAAGATGTATTTGTAAATAAATTTTTATAAAACTTTGGATAATTTATTCGACAAAAAACTATTTTCAAATAATTTATTTATAAGATATTTGATTTTTTTAATTTTCTATTCGAGTAAGAATAGAAAATATAATAACTATTTAATTTCT